TTAACATGAAAATTACTTTGCATATGGACTATTCAAAACAAATACTCAATATATTCATGGACAAACCTATATTCATTTTATTTAAAATACTTCACTAAAAAAATGATTTTTTGTATGCAAAGACTTGTAATATTAAATGAAGGACTGCCAAATTTCGTGAAGATATACACACTATATTGAGAGTTATAAGTATTAAATCTATAAAGACTTTAAACAGTACAAAAAGGTCACATGGTTGGTCAAGCTGACCAAGCCTGGATTGAGAGAGTTAAGAGATAATGCAAACAAAATGTGAAAACTCAGAGAAAAAAGTATTTTTAATCTTAACATGAAAATAACTGCACTCAAACTAGTCAACTCTATGACTTCATATATTCATGGTTCAATTTTAAGTATTTTCACTGAATTAAATAATTTGATTTTTGTGTACAAAAGACTTGTAATGTTTACTAAAAACATGTCAAACTTGTGCAAAATACACATACCACACTGATATGATAGTATGGATACTTCCATGGTTACCTTGATTTTCAAACAAGACCCAAAAACTTGAGTGTTTTGAATAGTTCATTGTTCTTTTTTATTCTCCTGAAGAAAAAGAATGGACTATTCAAAAGCACTCTAGTTTTGGGTCTTGTTTGAAAACCATTACAACTTTTGTATGTGATCCTGTGTGTTAACTTTTTAATCAGAGTCCATGGTTACCTTATGGTTACAATATTGATCAAAATGACTGAGCCCATATCAAGAGAGTTAATATATACATAGTTGCAGTTTATAATTTCTGAGCTGGCTAACTTGTGGATATGCACATATATGTAGTATTCTGAAACAAGGATGAAACTTGCTATCCTATTATAAGAATCTCACATCTTTCTAATTATACATATGATAAATTAATCAAAGGAAAATAATAACTCATGATTCTAGTAGTGAAGAATTATGAAGATAAATTCATCACAGCTTACCTGCCTCAGTACACACATTTCTCAAGTCTGCTCCATTAAAGCCATCAGACAGCTTTACCACAGACTCCCAATCTATTGGGTGCAAAAATAAAATAAAATCAGTAACATAAACATGCAGTTTATATAAATGTCTGTAACGAATGCATGTCAAGGTTACTAGTATAGGTGTCAAGTGCACACATGCATATCAAAATTTAAGTAACAATAATTCTGTTTCAACATTTTACTAAAAAATAGATAAATAAAAATAGAGGGCTATCTGCGTTAGCCGTCCCTAATTTAGCAGTGTAAGACTAAAGGGAAGGCAGCTAGTCATCACCACCCACTCTTGGGCTACTCTTTTACCAACGAATCGTGGGATTGACTGTCACATTATAATGCCCCCACGGCTGAAAAGTTGAGCATGTTTGGTGTGACGGGGAATCGTACCCGCGACCCTCAGATTGCGAGTCGAGTGCCCTAACCACCTGACCATGCTGGTCATTTTGCAATTGTCATTTTGTAACATTTAGTGTAACTTGCACAGAAAATTGAAAAATAAATTTAAGCTTGCATTTTTGTGCAGCTCCAATGAGCCTCATCTGTAAAATAATGCACATGTGAGATTAAAAAAAAAGTCTGTTTGTCCCAAAGCATTGGTTTATATCTGCTAAAAAGCAATCATCTATTGAGATTATTTCTTAATTGATTTTCCTTCTATTTTTCCAATTTTCATTAGTATGGCCTGCCATTCCCTACCTTTTCTCACAATCACAGCAAATTTTTGTCTATAACAAGGCATCAAGTAAGCTTTATTAGGTTTACCGAGACTGCAAAATATTCCAACAACTAAAGTCTTTATTTATTGAATATTGTTGTTATGTCTATCATATTCAACAATACACATAATGTTTTTTGTTTATTCAAAACATTATCTCACGAAACAGTTTTTGAAAATTTCATAACAGAAAAATTAAATCAAATTATAAGATTTTTTAAACTGAAAGTAGATCCGATTTAGTAAGTTTCTTTCATGCAGTTTGGTTATGTACTTCAACTGTGAGAATGAACAACAACAAAAAAAATCAAAGAATATCAATGAAACCTCTATTCCAGAAAAGGTTAAAATGTTGTGTTTCACAAATGCAAAAGGTTGCAAATGTCACACATATTTAAATATAAATTACACACACAACCAATACCCTTTAATCTAGAAAATTACTGTTTGTCTGCATTTTTTGTTAAAAATACATATAAGCTGAAGGAAAATTATGTTCAAAACACTTTTCAAAATGAATAAACGGAACATAAGAGAAGCATGGAAGGGATCTTTTCACAGATGGAATACTTTGACTTATATGTTCTACAGTTAATGAAAAAATGTATAATTAATTTTTTTGGAATACTGGTAATTTAAATGTAACTTTTTATATGCTGAGACAAGAATCTGATTACCAGGAAAAACTGTTTAGTACTTCGTCAAGGATTTGAGAATTCAATTTCACTTTGACAATAACTGCTACAATCTGAGCTGTCAATTCAATTAATTTTTTTTTAAACTGGCTGATTTAGCACTTTTTTTCTCTAAAATGTATTAAAGCTTAAGCTGTAGGCTTTTCTTTATCCCAGCTTTAGAAGTTTCAGCGAATATTGTTTTTCACATTCCTTTTACTCTAAAACAACCAAATATATTGTTTCAACAGATCTGTTGGATGATTCATTTTACTGTATTGAAAAAAAAACTACTACTTAATGAAGCAACTTGAAATGTAAGATGAATTTGATACAGGGTCAAATACAAATGACGTAAATAAGCCTACCTCATTCCATAAAAAACATTCTTTTTCCTATCATACTGCAACATCATAATTCAAATGAAATACAAAATAATAAAGCAAGCTTAAGAAAAAGCTAATTGTGGCAGAAGTTGTTCAAACATCTTTTTAAGTTAGTAACATATCACCAAGCTTTGTTCTGATCTCTATGCATTTCCACTGATCTGTAAGCTTATACAGTTGAAAAGAATATGAAAGAGTATTCATTACATAACTTTTCAAAACTGGTATATATATAAGCAATTACGTCACACTGACAATGGGGGTTGAGACAGAGTAACTAGATAAAGTTGAGGAAATTCCAGCTGTGTTGAAGTTACAAGGTTCAAATTAACCCTATTTTATTCAAAATTATTTCAACTTTTCACCTAGAAGACTATGAGTGCCATATTATGTTCAGAAATAATTCAGAAAAATTCACAAACACTAATCCTTTCATTCAGATCCTTCTGAAATCAACCCAAAATTTGCAAAAGCAAATAACCAATATTTTTAACTTGAATAGATTTCAACTCTGAAGTTATTATTTTTAATGAGTGGAAGAATGATTATAAGTTTATTTTCTATAAATTAATAAAATAAAATGCACCATCTAATTAATATGGAAACAAAAATAATCTGACTAACCACTACTCTAGCACTGAGGATGACATTGACAACAAATTTACAAAATCAGTCAATTCATAACTGTTCCCAATATATTATTTATGGATGTGACTATTGACAATATTATACTTTGAAATACAAATTCCTACCTATATCTCCATGTTTTGTGATTGGTTGAGCATGAATTTTAAGGATCTCCAATCGAGCTTGCTCATTTGGGAGAGGAATTTCTGAAAATAATGCATAACACTCTTTTACAAACTTGGGAAAATGTAAGAAATATTTTATAATTTTAAATAAAAATTGAATAAATTTATGATTATAAAATTAAAAAAACACTTCAAATGTATTGTTTACCTGCAATAAGCCAGTACAATATAATGTTATTGCATGAAGTAAGAAAGTTCTTTAGGATTAACAAATGTAGTGAAATTTTGTCTCTAACTCATTTCAGGGTGATATTTAATCTGATTTACTAGCCCTTAACAATTTTATGATTATTCAAAAGTGTATAACATAAACAACAATTAAATTATTTAACACTTATGATGCTGTTAACTTCTTACTATAATATATAAAATATCCATGGAAAACATCTCAAACATATAAATATTTTTTTAAAAATAGCAGTAAAGTACTTTCAATGAACTATCATCAAACAAAACAGTAAAACATTCCAGTACAAAGACATATCTTTTGAGATACTAGTTAATATAAGTACTTTATTGTGATCACAAAACTTTCAAAGTGCTTCTTGGCACTTTTTGTAGTTTGAGACATCATTGTTCAGACTCATACTATTTTATAGATAAAAAAATCCAAAGTATTGAGATGATCTTACCAAGAAAATGCAAAGAGAGAAAAAAAATTAAATGTTCCTACCAATTTTTCTATCCAGACGACCAGGTCGCAGTAAAGCAGGATCAAGAGTATCTGGTCTGTTAGTGGCCATTATAATCTTTACTTTTCCCAATGAGTCGAAACCATCCATCTGGTTCAACAACTATAACAATAAAAAATGAAGTTTTCTGACCTGAAATAAGACTATGGACACTCATAGTTTATGATCAGGACAAATTAAGTAAAATAATGTAGCTAACAAGGAAAAGTACCTGCCAATGACAGGCATAAAAAGTAATTCTATAAATCGTGTCTAGACTACCCCCTTCAAGTTCTATAGATGCATGCGAACAGCTCAGAGTAGACTGTGAGTAATGTAATTCAACAGCATAACATGAGCCCCACATTCCCCAAGTGATTTACAACTTATAATGGTGCAATTGTAGTTAGACACAGTTCAAAGGGCAATAAATTGTAAGTATAAATAGATATATACTGTTATGAGTTTAAAGCTACTTAGGATAAACAAATTTAGTTTCATGTTACAAACTGATGTCATTCTAGAAAGAAAAAAAAGGGTAATTTAGATTTATTTCAATATTTTTGTGATTACAAGGTCAGTCAAATTGACCAACGTTGCATAAAGTTATGGTAGAGAAAATAACAGATAAAATATAAAGTTTTACAGCAAACAAACATCTGAAATGTATTTAGGAGGTTTTAGAGACTATGCAAATGAAATTTGATATTTTTGAGATGAAGAAAAGTATTTTTAATCTTAACATGAAAATCACATTGCTAGAGCAGCAAGTATTAATCCTAATTACAATGTAAATATGCTTGATGCATGACTCAGACTGCTTAGAAGATAGTGAAAGTGAGTCAAGTTGTGTTCAAATGATTAATGATGAAGAGGCAATGAGACAAGAAGATGCTAGCTCTCCATCTAGTGGTGATAGTCAAGATAATGAACTTGGACCCAGCAGGAAAAGGCATAAAAAGCATCAACAATGGGAAAGATTTGTCCCAGTTGCAGTGCGAGGGGGTGGGTGCAATGGGAAATACATGTCCCAGCCACATTGAATGGGTTAAAGACCTAATTGTATATTTATGTCTGAAAGTACTATTCATGACAAAAAGCAAAGATATCTAGATTTTACATATTAACATAACATAATGTTTAGGGACAACATAGGACCTTTTGATCCATCTCAGTTGTCCCATTCTCTAAAATAAACTAAAACTATTACATAAATATAAAAATCTTATAGCCAGCCCTTATCATTCATACAGTTATCAAGCTTTCTTATAAACTCACTTAAATTGACTGCCTTTTATGTGACACCTTTTCAAATGCCTTCTGAAAATCCACATACACCAAATCTACACCCTTACCCTCATCTACATAAGCAGCAACTTTTTAAAAGAATGTCAAAAGATTTGTAAGGTAAGATTTTCCCATGTTAACTATCCAATAAAATTCTAAACTTTGTTAAATGGTTTTGCAAAGCATCTTTTTCCAGACTTTCCAAAACTTTCCCACAACTGATGTAAGACTAATTGGTCTATAATTACTTGGACAATTTTTATTACCTCCTTTAAAAAAAGAAGTGGTATTAGCTAACTTCCAATCCTTTGGCACCTGCACAATATATTTAAGAGCTTCCAAAAATAGTAGCAAGTGGCCCACATATCCAATTCTTAACTTCCTTCAAAACCATTGGGGAAATATTATCTGGTACAGAAGCCTTATCCTTCTTTAATTTTTTCTTAACAAGCTCGGAATTAATACAATCATCTTTTCAACCACATTTCCATCTTTCAACTGTTCACGAAGAGTAACGCTGCTTAAATCTTCTTTAGTAAAAGCAGAATTAAATAACCCAGCCAACTAATGATCATCAGATACAAGCCTTCCTTTATCATCTCTCAAACAGTGATAGTAACATTTCCATAAGTCACATTAGCATTGCCTGGACTAAAACAAAATGTTAAATGATTGATAAATTATAAGTTAAACATTATAGATATGACTAGAGAAATTGTCAGGAATGCTAAATTTTAACAAACCAGAAAAAAAAAGACATCAACTATTGAAATTATAAAATATTTGAAATTACACTTTTTTCCTTGATATAAAGTAAAACATTTTTGTCAATTAACGATTAGATTGGAATTAACTTTCTTTTTAAATTATATCTATTTTAACAAAAGCACTTTTTATAAGGAAAGAGTAAAAATGTCAAGAAACAGGCCTTTATAAAATGGAGTGTTAGACCATCAATACATTCATCCACACTATAATACTAATTCTTAGTTGTTGTTTTGTAAGTTTTTCAAAGCTAATCTAATATATATTCGTATGTGTGTATATACATACACACACACATATATATATCTTATTCTTTGTTTAAACAAAACTAACCTGCAGGAATGAACAGCTAAAGGAAGGGATTACTTGATTAAGGTCCATACTTTTGTCATGGTGAATCATTAGGATTGTTCATAAAGTAATCTGAACCAGTTTCTGTTTATACCTTCTCAAGATTTTGAAATTATCTTAACAAAATGTTTTATTCCTAATGAAAATAAGTATACACCACCTGTTTATTATCATGACTGATAAGAAGACAAAAAAATAATGAATAAAATTTGAAAACCCCAAATGAAACAAGGTATACAAGATTTTTAAGGAAATTTAATCAAAATAGCATTTATTTGAATTTCCACTATTAGTAAAGTGCATTTCATTTCTTTTTTCTAAATCCAGGGCTGATTTTAATTACAGGCAAAATAACTGATTACTTAGGGCCAGCACTGTTCAAAACAAGTATGACTATTGCTGTCATTTGATCTTTCTGAAATAATGGTAAGGTACTTACTTTAAGCATTAATTTTTTTTAATTTATTTGAAAGGACAAGTATACCCCCTCAACAACATACTAGCACACAACTTATCAATGGACTACTACTACTTGGGATGTATGCTTTGTAGTATTATTTACTAATGGTTATTAGCATTTAAGTTAAAGCACAAAGAATGTTACTTACTTCCATTAAAGTCCTTTGAATCTCCCTATCTGCTGATGTACCTTCTGAAAAACGTCTTCCACCTACATTTTTGAAGAAAGATTTAGACCAGACCAGATGAAATTTTGCACAATTCTTAAACTTATATTTAAAAATTAAGAATCCTACTTTGTAAACTAAAGTACAACACAAACGATGCTGAAAAACTATAAAAAGTTGGAGGAAAAATGTTCTATTTGTATGAAATCCAAAATTATTAAATATAGTCTTAGATAAATTCCATTTTTAAAGACTTCTTCCTATTATAAGCATAAACAGAATAACAAAGAAAGACTGTTACCGATAGCATCAATTTCATCCATAAATATTACACATGGTTGATGATCCCGAGCATAGTTGAACATCTCTCGGATTAAGCGAGCACTCTCTCCTATATATTTGTCCACAATAGCACTAGAGACAACCTAGAAAAGATTGAAATTAGTTCAAACAAATTTCATATATAATTAATGTATATATTAAAAATACAATGCCTGACATACAGCAACTATTTTGTAACTCAAAGCATAAGATGTTTCTATTTAAAAATCTGTATTTAAATGCTTGAACTTCTCTCATGAAATTGGTAATTACTTTTTATCATACCAATATTGAATTCTAGACCATAAGAAAGTTATAAATTTATAAAAATTATAATTATCTATTCCTGTGTCACACTGACAACATGCAGTACAAGATATAGTAACAATTATCTGGATGACAACATAATGTTACAGTTTTTCAACCAGTAATCTTCTTTTATGCAACTCTGAAAGAAAACAAATGATGTAAAACATTGTATAACAGTCAAGTAACAAAGAAGCAAATATCACAACTCAAGTCTATTATTGTAAAAGTTGTATGTAGATAGAAGATGGTATTTTTCTTGATTGAATTTTAAATTAATACTTTGCCTACCTTCAGAAAATTGGCATCAATCTGACTAGCCACAGCTCTTGCTAGCAAAGTCTTTCCTGTTCCTGGAGGTCCAAACAAAAGACAACCTTTAGGTGGGGTAATTCCTACTCTTTGAAATAGTTCTGGATTCAGTAATGGTAGTTCAATCACCTGAAAGAAGAAGAAAAAACATGATATAATTATTCAAATTTTGGAGAGATTTTTTTTACAAGTCTCTCTGCCTTTCTGATCATATTTTGTTTAATAAGTACTTCAAAAACAATTTCATTGATACAAGTTTTAAAATTTTAAATGTGCACACAAATTACACTAAGTCAAAATTTCAACTTGGATAAATCAAGAGAAATAGTCACAAACAATGTAACATCTTTAAATACAAAGACAATCATATACAAGAAATAATATTTTGGTAATTCTAAGAAAACATTCTAACTCACTTCTGAAAATGCAAAAAATAAGAAATTTACATGTAAAAAGAAACTGGCCTTCCAAAAAAAATTTTGTATCATACTGTAACAAGCACATATTAACAAAGCTTTTGACTTGAAGACATCATGAAAAGTTCTCCAAATATCCTATGAAAGTTAACAAGTAAAATAATACAATAATCTAAGAATATTTTAAATCATCAATCAGCTAAAAATTTAAGGAAAATAAACAACAGACATCAGCCTCACCTCCCTTAGTTCTCTAATTTGTTCTCCCAATCCACCAATGGTAGAGTAGGATACATCACCTGGATCTTCATGAGACATGTTATAAACCAATGGATCCACTTCTCGAGGAAGATACCTGGAAATAAACAAATTATTTACCAAACATTTAATAAACACTATGTTTCTCCCTCTATGTAAAAGTTTCAGTTAGATAACAAAACTAAATTAACAAAAAATATGAATGACAGAAGAATTGACATTTCAATACTTATTAATTTGTATATAATACATTTTCTCTGTGATTGGGATCGCAAAAACTTAAAAAAAAAGAGAGTTGAATTTTAATTTATTTATGATTTATCCAATGATATAATTGTCAAAACATTTTTCTGAACCTCATAATAGTAAGAGTAGTCATGTCCAAAGCAACTCTAGTTCCAGATTTCAGTCGAGTCTTGTCCAACTGACGACGACATCCTACTACATAACGAGGACCATTGGTTGCCTTCACAATAACTATAAGAGAACTTCAAATCAATATGTGATTTGAAATATAAAATTAAACTACTAATTGCTTATTTTTAAATTATCCTTAAGTAACACTTAAAGAATTCTACTGTTATATCTAACTTTAGTCTTCTATGCTCTACAGTTTTCAAGTTTAATCTTTAAAAGTTAATTAGAGAATAACAATGTTTTAAACTGTACTCAAAAGTTATAACTATTTCTACTATTAGCATCAGTTTCTATAACTGTTAATACTATAATGATGTAATTATACCAAATTCTACCACATGCTCCATTTTAAACATTAGATCCTTGATTAGAGTTGTTTTCTCTTAAATATTATTTGTCTTTCTCTTACTATTTGAATTTTCTATTTTTTTGATTTTCTAAACATTTTGTTTTGTAAAGCATTTTTTAAGCAACTGTTCAATCTCACAGTTACATACAAAGAATAGATATAAATTAGTGATAAATAAACAAAATAGACATTAACAGATGAGCTTTCTGCAACACAAAAAATGAAACAAGCTTCTACATGGATTATAGGTGTAGAGCCACAGTTTATATTTAAGTAATACAACCTAAAAATAATGCCTAATGATGCAGGAAATGTGTCTTACTGAGAAGTTTAGACAACCTAAATACATGTGATTCACCCAAGAGACATCTAATGTACCTACATCTCTCTCTCTCCATCAATTCTCTAAAAACAGAAGTTAATGATAAATTTTGTGGAATATTTAGTTGCATTATGATGTAAACTGTATTATTTTTTTAAAATTTAAACCATGTGGAACATTTGCAGTGACTTATTTCATTTTGTAGACAATTTTAAAAAGATTGAATATAACTTCCTTTACTGCTACTTATAACCAGAAAAATGGTACCATATATTTAATATAAGTTGAACAAAAAATTAAAACTTGTCAGCAGCAAAGAATTATAATGTGCACTCTTACTTTCAAATGCTATGTGTAAGTTCTAGTGATTCCTGCTATGTTTTTTTTTTTCAAATATTATTCTTTCAAGGGATGATCTAACACTACAAAATGGCAATAAGTTTAAAAATACCAATATAAAAAGATTGCTGTAGTTTCAAGAATAACTGTCTCAAAAGATGATGCCAGCATGTCAAAAGGTGTAAAGGCAGTATCTGGTATGTGAAAAATTGAAATATGTTATCATACTGGGAAAAACATGTCTTCTTTCCTAAGTGCTTGCAAAAAGTTGAGCAATTTATCATCATACTGCCTTTTATACATTTCAAGAATAGTAAAGAGCATGTGACAAATTTCTTTCTATGGGATTTATGTTGTTTATAAAAATAATGATAAGTTGAAGATCCAAAGAGACAAAGAAAAATCCCAAGACTAACTTTACACACTAACAGGCTAATGTGCCAACACAACTATATTACAAGAAAGTACCATCTTTGTATGGACAGGATACCAATAACATATGGTTCCATCAAGACAAAGCATCCAGTACATATACAAGTACAAATGGAAATTTATACTATACTCCTTGCATACATATCAGTTCAGCCACTTAGACTGCTCCACTGGGTTGTTGAAAGTCAGTGTCTATACACGGTTGATGAATTTTGAAAAACACCTAATGTGGAGAATAATACTGACCTCAGCATTTTGTGCTAAAAAACCTTTTGCAGTGAGGTTATACCACAGAACAATAGTCCAAAACAAGGGCCATCACACAGAATACCATTTGTGGTGGAAGAAGGGGTTATTAGACATAAACATTCATACTTGTATCATTACCATAGGTCACAAAAAACATCTCTATTTCTAAATTTCTGTTTTAAAGTTCAGGAAAAAAAATTCTTCAAGAATACTCACATTTATCTTCAGTAAGCTGCTTCAAAACCTCTCCCACAATCTAGAAATCAAACAATATAATCTGTTACTAGCACAAACTTCTTATATAAAACCAAAATGCTTATGTATATTATCCAGTTGTTACGTAATTAATAATATTTAGAATAAAAAATTATTACAGAATTTGAGATTTAACCAAACTTTTCTTTGCTAGAAGTCAAAGGTGGAAATAAACTTAAATCAATAGTGAATTTTCTTAATCACAGTTAAAGATCAGATTTATATGCAGAAGCTAAATTTCCTGACTATTACTTGTAATGTTGTATGATACATACTGCAAAAAAGGCATTCTTATTTTAAAAGTGATACCTCTATTTAGTTTATATGCATAAATAAGATTTCATATATTATTACAGTGCCAAGCTTTATGCAGTAAGTCTTTTTTCTTTAAGAAAAAATGTAACCAAGATAAAAATTAAATTTATTAATTTAAAAATCATTTCATTATTGTTTAAAACTTTGTACATCTCTACTTTACCAAAATGATTATATATTATATACATCTATAATACATTCATAAGTTGTTATATCTAATTTTCTTAAGGTATAGTTTAGTTCTGGTAACTTTAATCCTATATTTTCTCATACAAATTACTTATTAAAGTTCAGCTTGTATAACAACTTAATGAATATATTAACAACTGACCTTAAGCAAATAATGAAAGAAAACTCAGATTTGTATAAAACATTATTTCTCAAATGTATACTATTTTTTGTGAACCATAAGCATACAGAAATTACAACTTAATAGTGTACTATAAAATTAATAAATCTACACTAGTACCCAGCCAGTCGTAGATAATGTATTCCTAGGGGTACATAAGTATCTTAGAAAAACATGCATGACCTTCTCCTAATAATAATATAACAACATATAAAAATTAATCAAAGTACTATACAGTATTGGTAAAGGTAAGTAACTTATGAAGCAACACTGCTAATCCTCTACGAATAGTTCACTCACCAGCCGTGGTTGAACGTGCTTGTTTTTTTTTTGTTGTTGTTGTTTGCATTCACTACGACATTTAAAATGTGGTGTTTGCCATATGAACATTAAATTTAGTGATGGATCAGTTTGTAATAGCAACACAATTTAAAGACAGAAATAAAAGTGAGCAAACAGATGTATGATAATGCCAGAAATAATATTAGTGTTGTTAGGCCTACTATTAATGCTGCTAAAGATGTGAAGTTCTTAAGTAAACAAAGAGTCAGTTTAAGAGTATTTTAGTCAACAAGACTGTGAAACACTTTTTGTACATTTAAAAAGGCAAACATGTAACGTTATTTACCTTCACATCATTCCTAAGTTAAACATAAATAAATTTAAATATGAAACTAAAACTCGTTCATACTTACATAACAATAACAAGGCTTAACCCTTTCGAGATGGGTCATGGGTGAAAGGCCATGTCATCTCGTTTGTTGACTCACATTCACAATTTTATTGAACTACTATTTCATGAATTTATATCAATAAGTTTTACATCAAACTATAGATTATAATTCAAATTTTAGTACTATATATTACTCAATTTCTTAATTTAAAAGCAAATATTAAAAAACACAGATAAACATTGATTTTTGTGTGTCACTTGGTATGTTGAATGCAACACTGGTTGAAATTAGATGCTTGTGAAGTCAAATTACTAAGTCTATAGTTTCGAGAAAATTATAAACTCAAATTAACAATATTGAC